CCCCCCCCCCCCCCAATATTTTAATGAGACAAATACAAGTAAAGCCTACTGCGCACTGTGCAACCTCTAGACCAGGGGTGCCCATTAGGTCGATCGCAAAGCGAACACAGGTAGATTGCGATCGGCTGTGTCCTGTCCTCCTGCGAGCTTGTGCGTCTGGCGGCTTCCTGCGTGCTTGTGCGTCTGGCGGCTAAATTTGTCAGACGCCGCAGACGGGAATGGGCGGGACACTTCTCCCCGCGTGCAGCGTTGGCTACATTCGGCCACACGAGCACCGCGGGAGGACAGAACGCCAGGGCATGAGAGGAGGCCTGGGAAGCTGCTGCAGTGGAGGTAAGAAAAGACAGACAGGGGAGAGACAGCAGAGAAAGTGAGAGGAGAGAGACAGCAGAGAAAGTGAGAGGAGAGAGACAGCAGAGAAAGTGAGAGGAGAGACAGCAGAGAAAGTGAGAGGAGAGACAGCAGAGAAAGTGAGAGGAGAGACAGCAGAGATAGTGAGAGAAGAGACAGCAGAGATAGTGAGAGGAGCGACAGCAGAGATAGTGAGAGGAGCGACAGCAGAGATAGTGAGAGGAGAGAGACAGCAGAGATAGTGAGAGAAGAGTCAGCAGAGATAGTGAGAGAAGAGACAGCAGAGATAGTGAGAGAAGAGACAGCAGAGATAGTGAGAGAAGAGACAGCAGATAGAAACAGGGGAGAGAGCAAGGAGAGGGAGCGTGAGGAGAGAGAGAAGAGGCAGCCAAGAGAAGAGAGGCCGGTTCACACCACAAAGTCTGCGTTCCAGAGTGTTCAGCCTCTAGAACGCAAGCCAGCCAGCTCCCTGCGTTCAGGGGCGGGAGGTTGTATTGAAGTCAATGGCACCGCAGCCACGCCACACGCCCACAGATGGATTGCCCGCACCCGGAACGCAGGCACGTTCCAGGCCAGTGTGATTTTTTGCAGATCGCACTGGACCGGAACGCAGGCACTAATGCGCCTGCGTTCCGGGTGCGGGCAATCGCACTGCAGGCAGGGGGCGTGGCTGCAGTGCTATTGACTTCAATGCACCGCCACGCCCCCTCCCGCCCCTGAATGCAGGTGTTTTTTTGTTGGTAGATCTCATTGAGCTCGTCATTTGAAAAGTAGATCTCCAGATTAAAAAAATTGTGGGCGCCCTGCTCTAGACAGACAAAGGTTTGTGCCAGTCACCCAATGTCTCTTCTATCTCTCTCATATTAGCTGCCAGTGTAACCATTTCCACCATCAGTCGGTTTGAAATTTTAGGTGGTGTTATTTCTACATTTACACCAGAATTCAGGTCCTCTGGCGCTCACCTATTGTTGTGTCCACGTTTCTGACTATAATGGCAATTTTATTTACCAAGTTATATGCCAATCATAATTTATTTCAATACTGTTTTCAGTAAGCTGCAATATGATTGGTCATTGCCCTTTGCAGAGTCTCATGTGGCGGCACAACAGGGGAGATGAGGACACCTAGCACTCCGCACACTCACTGCGTCTCCGATTGCTTCTCTGTGAATATTCGCAGCACAAAGTCGCCTTCCTTGTGCGCCTCGAACGTTGATGGGACGATGAGATACTCTCCGGGGGGCAGGTGGATCGGGTTGCTGACTTCTCGCAGGTTGATAAAAGTTTCTGAGCGGGCGCAGGACTGGTGACGGAGGAAGAAATCCTTCTTGAGGTGGACGTTCTGGCAGCCTTTAAACTGCGGGAGAGGATAAGAGAAGAACAGGTCATTCATTTGAAAGGCGGAATGTGCGAGATCTGATCTACCATAGAAGTGACCAATCGGAATCCAGAGATCACATAGGATACAGACCCATCAACAGAAGCCTTATAACATGAATTGTTGCTGACCGTGTATTTACATGCCTGTACCCCCCCTTTCCCAAGCCCACCTCTCCTTGTGTCCCCTTTTCACAGACCTATCTCACCTCATGTCCTCCTCCCCCTGACTAGCTTCCCCTACTTTCTGCCTTCCGCAAACCTGCCTCCCCTTCTGTCTGCCTTCCCTAGACCCACCTCCCCTCCAGGTCAGCTTTCCGCAGACCCACCTCCCCTCCTGTCTGCCTTCCCCGGACCTACCTCCCCTCCTGTCTGCCTTCCCCGGACCTACCTCCCCTCCTGTCTGCCTTCCCCGGACCTACCTCCCCTCCTGTCTGCCTTCCCCGGACCTGCCTCACCTCCTGTCTGCCTTCCCCGGACCTGCCTCACCTCCTGTCTGCCTTCCCCGGACCTGCCTCACCTCCTGTCTGCCTTCCCCGGACCAGCCTCACCTCCTGTCTGCCTTCCGCAAACCTGCCTCCCCTCCCGTCTGCCTTCCCCAGACCCACCTCCCCTCCAGGTCAGCTTTCCGCAGACCCACCACCCATCCTAAAACACAAGACAACACCAGGCGCCTTTCCTGGTGCAAATAAACCTTTTATTGATAAAAATAGGTATACAAAAATACTCACAAAGAAAGCAAGGGCTAAAAACGTCAATGAACTGATAATCCTTATTGACTTTTCTGCTGTGGATATAAACTGTAGCGATTGAAGGACAATCCAAGAGCTCTGCTTTCCTCACAGAGTCCCGCTAGCACTGCTGAACGCATTTTCGGGGATGTGCCCCCTTCCCCAGACCACCTCCCCTCCTGTCTGCCTTCCCCAGATCCTCCTCTCTGCTTTCCTTAGACCTGTGTGGCCACCCATCCCTTACCTAACTTTCTGTCTCTCCCCCCTTTGCAGACCAACCTGTGTGTGTACCCACCAATACCTACCTAATACCTAAAGTCAAAGCTCTAATTCCACGTATAAACCTTAAATTAGGTGTACGTACCTCTTCCGGCACCTGCAATGAAAAAAGAGAAGAGAAAGAGGTGAGACGATTATACAAGTGAAAGGTCGGCTCATCTTATACAATGTTAACATTATGGAGGTCACACCATGGGAGGACCATCTACCTCTACAACCCCCAGGAGCTCCCCCTCATACATGGAGTATTTGATCCACCCTCCAACACACCCACCTCATACACGGCAAAACCGATCGTGTGCATGTCTCCTCCAGCCTTCCGCTCTCTCCTGCGGTTTTTCTGCATGAGGGCGACAAGGAAGCTGCAGGCCAACTCATTATCATCTGGGTCATCGTCCTCCTCCAGCAGTGTGATCTTAAATTGAGGATTGATCCAGAATGTGGCTGAAAGGAGAGACATTTGGTGAGGAATTTCAAGGGGAACAATAAATGTAACACAAGGGACTTCCCGAGACCTAAGGGACTGAAGCTTCTCCTGGGGAAGGAACCCTCTGGCCTGAGACACGTCCAGGACCAGGCACAGATACTCTTGTCAATTGTCAGAGGAACAGACTCGTGGCTTGGAGTATCTACTGAGCATATCATTCGCTTTAGGAATCTATTTAGCCAAATTCCAGGAATTGTATCATTTTATAGGTATAAATAGAAAACTTAATCATCAGAATTAGGAAATTTGGGCAAAATTTTGGGTTGGGGATGTGGAATTAAGGTGGTTTTTAAGGGTACGAAAGACTTTAAAAAGGTTCCCAAGGGTTACAAAAAGCTCCTTTCACCTATTGTGGACCTGATCTTATGCCAAAAAACTGGCCCCTCATTGGCTTTATAATCTTTTTTTTTTTCCCAGGAAAAAAAAAACCAGTGAAAATAAGTAAACATTTAAAACTATGGCACAAGAAAAGAATTTAAAAAAAAATAAAATACAAAAGAATAATAAATAAATGAAACTACCCCAAATACACCTCCCAAAAAACACATCCTCTAAGTAAAGAAAAAAAAGAGCAGATTTGTTTCTTTAAATAAAGTGCGCCTAGGCACCTCAATCCGCAGCCATGAGAGTTTTCATTAAAAGACAAAAGTAGTCATTCTGACGCTAAATCAATTTAGCCAAAACCTCTCTTCTCATGTATCGCTATATAGAGGACCACATGTCCCAGCATTCCTGGCAAGATTAGTCAGAGATATCACAATCTCAGGATAACGTAGACACCGGCACTCCAAGGAATGAATCAATGGCGTCTGTTTATTGACGCATGAAACATAGCACAATGAATCGAAAAGCAACGTTTCCGGGTCTCACAGGATCCCCTTCATCACTCATTTTGCCTGATGAAGGGGATCCCGTCAGACCCCGAAACGTTGCTTTTTGATGCATTGTGCTATGTTTAATGCGTCAATATACAGACGCCATTGATTCATTCCTTGGAGTGCCGGTGTCTACGTTATCCTGAGATTATAGACGGTTGCCATCCGTCGAATTCCGCAGCACCCGTCTTTTATAAGGAACAGCGGTTTTAAGTGCGATGGGTTCATTGACTCTATCCAGATATCACAATCTTTCTCAATATCAGATGGTGTCACAGATGTCCCAACCTCTCTCAATAAGGAGAAAGCTGGAATAAATACGAAACCAACAATAATGGTCACATGGAAGACCATCGGAACCAACCGGGCTGCTTGACTTGACAAAACAGAGGACCCTCTAACTCCCAAACTTTCAGAAGAGTCCACCTACCGGCATTGTTCCTGCAGCCGCCGGCTGTGCTGCCCCTCCGCCACGTGCCCTCGTACAGCGTCGTGTGCCACTTGCTCATGTCATCTTTGTCGAGCGTGTCTGGAGTGAGGTTACAGATCTCCAACCGGTGGAACTGACGTAGAAATTCCTGGAAAGACATCCTGAGGGGGGCGAGGAAAGGACAGAGAGGGTTGGTGTAGGATAAGGAGGAGAGGACAGAGATGGGGTGTAGGATAAGGAGAGGACAGAGATGGGGTGTAGGATAAGGAGAGGACAGAGATGGGGTGTAGGATAAGGAGAGGACAGAGATGGGGTGTAGGATAAGGAGAGGACAGAGATGGGGTTTCAGAACGAGAGGAAAGAGATGGGGTGCAGGATAAGGAGAGAGCAGAGGTGGAGTTCAGAAAAAGGAGAGGACAGAAATTGGGTGTAGGACAAAAGGAGGGATATAGGGGGATGTAGGATGGGGGGGCCCCGAGGGGGGAAACAATATTAAGATAGGGCACATGGAGTGCAGGACAGGTGAAAAATAGAGCGGGGTTCAGGACGAGGAGAGGACAAGGAGGGGCACAGGATTAGGGAAGGACAGAAGGCGGGACAGGTGTTAAAAGGACATCCTTTGGTAGAGAAACCCATAACAAAATGACCTGCATCCCGCCCCCAATTCAGACCTGCGACAACTCAGACATCCCCAGCAATGACTCACCAGAATTCTCCGTCCTCCATCTTCAGGCGGAGGTCTTCACGCTCAGATGGGTCAACCTCGTTCCACTCAGAGGAGCTGGGATCAGAGAAGAGAGGTCAGTTAAAGGCAGAATGTTTCTGTACATCACAGCCTGCTCAGACCAGAACCAAATGCCCACACCAGAGTTACAGCCGATTCCAAACAGCACTCCTAAGGCCCATCCACCAACCATGTGCACTGCTACAACAATGTTCTATCATCCTGGGTGGCGCTACACAGTCCTGACCAGGTACCGTCATGGACTTGCATTCCCTCCTGCCTGCCTGAGGGTTTCTCTCCATCATCCCCGTCTTGGTAATCTTCTCTGGGAGAATCAGCACTCAGGTATCCTATTATAAATCACTGTGCAGTCCAGAGGAGCACGCACATCCCTTTTATTGGTGATCCCAAGCAAACCAATCTGTTAATGGCTACCCCTTCCTTAATCAGCCAGTTAAAAGGAGAACTATGAGGTGAGCGCTTTTCACTCACCTCATAGTTCGAGCCGACCTGTGACAATGAGACTGTCACAGGTCGGCTCAGTAGATCGGGAAGTGAGCGAACACATACCGGCGTTCGCTCACCTCTCGATCCTGTCACGGCTCTCTGCCGTGTCAGGGGAGGGGCTGGATTCCCCGCTCCGATCCGCCAGCACTGAATGGTGGATCGAACGGGGGAGGAGGCAGGTACAGCTGGCTCTGCCTCTAGATAGGCAGAGCCTCCTTTAAAGCTGGGTTGGGGGAATGGTAGAAGGCATAGTGCTTGGTGATGACTGGAGAAGTTGAGTTTGCCACAAAACTACCACACTTTTGGCTACAGGCTGAATGGATCCAGAATTTCCACATTTCCTGGAAGTCTACACCATCAGAAACATTGTAAGAAGACATAAGAGTTTCGTGCACTCACTTGTCGCTCCAAGCTCCAGTCCACTCCACCTGTCCCCAGGGGTTCCGAATCCGGATCAGCTTCTCGGTCTGTCCCCGGTAGTTGACCTGCCAGAGATATATAAGAGATGACAGTCAGTGTCATGTCAGGTGACCTATAGAGAAGACTCCCCCATGAATAAATAGAAGATCTGCTTCATCATAGCGCAGGCCACCCAACGTACCTCTTTTAGACCCGTCACGGAGTACGCGTGGCCCTTCACCAACTTCTTAAAGGTTACGGCTTCCATGTCATGCGCGCTTGTTATCTAAGCAGAGAAAAAAGGTCAGCTGCAGCCATATGCACTAAAATTCCCTTCCTGAACAAAGCCATGTATGTGTAATATTTACCCAGAAGGCCTTTCTCCTTCCTGAGAAGTTTATTGCATCCAGCCATGCTGGATGTCTCGCTGCTCGGACTTAGCATTCATGGCTGATGTTAAAGAAGAACTATGGGGTCAGGGCTTTTCCCCATAGTTCTCCTTAGGGTAACGGGAGGACACAAACTAGCATCCTCTCGTCACCCTAAGCTCAGTATACCGCAAGCTGTATCCATCCCCAATTGCGGCTCTCAGGGAATCTGCCGCTCCAGGCAAACGCCTTGTTTGCCTCGCGGCAGATACGCTCCTGCCTCCGTGCCTGTTCTGGATACAGCTGTAACATTTTGGATTTAATTTTTTGGGATTAAAGGAGAACTAGGAGGTGAGTGAAAATCACTCATCCTCATAGTTGGAGCCGACGTGTGACAATGAAACTGTCACACGTCGGCTCAATAGATTCCGTCGCTCGCTCACTTCTCGATCATGTCCCTGCAGAGATCTCACTCACGGCTCCCTGCAGGGATTCCCCCCTCCCCGCTCCTCCAGCGCTGACTGGCGGAACGGATGGGGGAGAGGGCGGGTACAGCTGGCTCTGCCTCTAGATAGGCGGAGCCAGCGGTCACTCACGCAGCTGGGCGGATGGACAGTAATGTCGGGATCCGTCCCGGCTGCAGCGGTCTCGGTATAACGCAAGCTGTAGCTCGCTATATACTGAGCTTTGGGCCATGGGAGGACGCTAGTTTGTGTCCTCCCGTGACCCTTAGGAGAACTATGGGGAAAAACACAGACCCCATAGTTCTCCTTTAAAGAAAAAAAGAAAGAGGAAGAAAAAAAATAAAACTGGAAGAATATATAATGGAAATATAATGATAAATTAATGCCAATAGAAGTGATACAATATAGAGAAATCAATTCAGACCCCAGTTCAGTTCTCCTTTGATAACTTCTACATAAGTTTTAGATTGTGCCAAATCCGCTCAATGTATATATTTAACAAAATAAGGAATTCAAAGAATCCATATCACTCAATGTACAGAGTGTCCTCCTATGACAATTTTTCTTACATCGATGGAGCAGCCCATTAGGGACCCTCGCTCCAGTGCCCGGCTGATGATTTTGTCCAGGTCACGGGGAGCTTTTCGCAGCTCATACATGACGGCCACACCGCCGGTAAAATCTTCAAACCCTTCGGTTGTACTGCCTCCTGACAGAGCCTCATAGGAGCCATTCAGCCTGCAGGAGAGAAGGAAAGAATGTCAGCCGCTGGGTCAGCGGGGGGGGGGGGGGGGGGACCTGAATGAGGCTTTTCA